TCGATGTTGTGTCGTTCTAAGTGGGGGACGGACTGAACCCTGTTTTTTATCACTTTGAACTCCCACAAGCTTTCCATTCTTAAAATAGCCGAATTGTCCTGTCTCCTTAAGGGCTTGAAGTTGTTGGCGTTGGCGAGTTGTAAGGTCGCTTGATATGCCGTACCCAATCTCCCTTAGCACCGGTCTGGCTTTGAGGGCTCGAACCTTGTCCTCGGAAACTTTCTGTTTAACGATAATAGGGCGTGGCTTTATTGCACCATGACGCTTGATTCCAAGGCGGTGGGCTCTAATGACGTCAGACGTTTGACAGGTTTTAAAGGTCAAGTACTTAGTAAATAAAGACATAATTGTGTCCTTACACGCCATCGACTTTTCACCTTCTGCTTCAGGAACACCGTGTATTACAATGTTGTCACGACGACTAAAAGATTCGAGTTTATCAATTTCATCTTCCATCTTGGATAGACGTTTCTGAAAACTCTCAACTCTTCCCGAGACAGCATCGAGATCATCGTACATAACGTCATAGTCATGTTTGGTTGTTTCAATAGTTGTTTTTAGTTCTTTCACAGAATCTTCCAACCTGTCACATCTCGATACTATAGTTTTCACTTCACATTTCAAATCGTTCATTTGCGAGGATAGATCTGATTTTACGTCACGTAATTCTGACAAGATAGCGTCCCTAACATCTTCAAGTGAGGTAGGCCCGGGTTCGGCTCAGCATCGTTTGCACACATTATAATCTGTGTTATAACACTCGCTGGTCGCGTGTCACCTCCGAGGAGACACATTCCACGTGCAATCCGAGTGTGGTGTATAAACAAAACCGGGTCACAGGTAGAAGTGGTGACGTCACATGGGGTACACAAAAGGATATTTTCTTTGGGTAAAAAACTGCCAAAGTTCACTTTTTCAAGACAGCCAAACACAGCATTTGATGTCAAAAGATGTATAGAAAATAGAAATGCACAAATGAGTATTCTGAAGTGGACATCTGTCCCCGACACGAAAGGCGAGTACTCACTCTCATGTTGTAACATTACTTGTTACTGAGTTCCACTGGGGTGGGAGAAAGATCCAATTCTGGCCCGATAGACATCAATAGACACCATTTTTGGCACAAAAGATGTTCACTGTGCACCAAGAGCAACTTTGTCGTCAGTTTCAGTCTTCATAAATCATACATTAGAATATATTTTTCGTAAATTGTCCTCAGCTTTGAGATCGTGTTGTCGTTACCAAGGGACGTTACTCTCTCCTTTTGCGCGCGCTAACTTGCGATATGCGAGACGGGGCCCAGCTTACTTCCGGTACCAGATTTCCGGTGACAAGGGTGTATTTAAGAACGAGGTCTGGTTCCAATTTGCGCGACCGTCAAATAGGACTTCACTAGACCGGACCAAGTGCATAACCATTCTTGGCTGTCACAGTTGCTGACAGTCGTAATAGTTGGCTAATTTTGGGATGGTTAGATCGGAACCCTGGCCTTCGGCGTGACGAGCCAATGCTTTAACCCCACTGGGCTACCCCATTCCCACCCATCCCACCCCCCACTCCCAAACCCATCCCCCCAAAAAAACAAAATAACAAAAAAAAAACTACGGTACGGTTGAGTAGAAAGGTCAAAAAGACGTCACGGTGAATACACAAGCTTCTCGGGTAATTGCGTTTTTATTCAAACCATTTCACAAATGAAATAATTTGGTGTATTACAAGTTTGATACTGCCAAAATATTTTACCCTTCATTTGAACCGATACACATTGGTTGGGACCGCCATTTTCCTTAAGCTTAGACTCGAATTTAGTGTATGTTTTTTCAGATCCATCGATCCATTGGTTACCACGCAGTCCGATCCAAACTCTCTTATTACCAAACCTTGACTGAAGAGCACCAAGGATACCTGCAAGCAATAGCGAGTTTGCGTGTACTCTGCTTTAAACCGTTTCGTTTTCAGATAAAGAGTTGATTTGCCTTTGCATGTGTTTGTGGCTAGTGCTATCGATGGAATTCTGACTATCTATGCATGCTCATGATAAAGGCAGGAACGATGATGATGATCATGATAGTGGTGATGGTGATGATGATGATGATGATGATGATGATGATGATGATGATGATGATGATGATGGTGGTGGTGGTGGTGGTGGTGGTGGTGGTGATGGTGATGATGATGATAATGCTGATGGTGGTGGTTGTTTGTTTGTTGTTGTTGTTTTATAATCGTTGTTCGTTTTATGCATTTCGACGAAAATATAGAGGTGAATTCGGGACAATAAAGTTCGTTATACGCTCGTTGACACACTGTACCCATGTGAAGACTTCGGCGGGACAGGCGAACGCTTTAACCACTGGGCTACCCCATCGAAACTTCCCACGAGGTTACGAACCGACTGAATTTATGTAAACCACCGACGGAATCCAAAATCCCTAAACGATTGTTTTTTCATTGGCAAACATACGTTCATAATCGATTGCAGAAAAATCAAACGGAAAATAATATATTCATTGTACTAACATGAAATGTGAGTTTTGGATCGACAGTAACCGACAACATGCACGTCCTAGAAGCATATCTTTTAACATAAGCAAAAAGGTGATGCTGTCGTTTTATCGTTGTTTTGTTGAAAGTATTTTGACTTTTTCAATTCAATGCTGGTATGGCTCTCTTAATATCAAAAGCAAATCTTATCTTAACCACCGATACCAATTGCCCCGTTTTAACACAAAAAGAGTTCGAAATTATTTTATTCCAGCAAGTATTCACCCTTCAAATGACTGTTAACTTTGTCTGTCTATTGTGTTGTTTTGTGTATTCTTAACCTTTATGTCATTTTTAATATTATATCATGTGACCACTTTCAAATGTAAAGAGAATTCCCCTTGGGGTAATACAGTATTGTCATTGCCATATTATACTTACTTTTCTTTTTTAAGTGCTGTTGAATGATTTTCATTCGAACGTGTGTATTTCCAACAGCTAATCTACTTCCCTCCTTGTTACACGTACTCTCCGCCGATTGCCAGGTTGCAAATTTCTGAATACTATTATGCAGTCGAAGACATAGACATGGCGGAGGCTTCCCTTTGTATACGTGCCTTTTGTCGAGGAATCTGGTAAGAGTGTAAGGCTTCCGACACGACGCTGTAATGAAACAAACGCAAATAATTGAGTGAATGAGTCAGTTTAGTTTTAGGCCGCTTTCAGCAACATTCCAGCAACATCACGGCGGGGACACCAGAAATGGGCTTCACCCACTGTACCCATGTGGGGAATCGAACCCGGGTCTTCGGCGTGACGAGCGAACGTTTTAACCACTGGGCTACCCCACCGCCCCCAAACGCAAACAAGACCATTGTGTGTTTATTGTGTGACCAAATGGAGGATAGTGGGTGGTTGCTTTATTTGTTATTTAGCGCCGGACGCAGCAATATCCCAGCTATAAAGCGGTGATCTGCAAAAAATCGCGTCAGGACAAGACAATCCATTTTATCTTACCTCGCACATAAATGACGCTTTCTGATTGGCTGAGCGCTCTTCTATTATTTTCAATGTACCCCGCTTACAAGCGAGTAACATTTCATTGTACCCCGATGTCAATGGCAACTCATTTGGTAGACCCGTGAAGATCCGGGGTAGAATAGGTCTTCAGCAACCCATGCTTGCCACAAAAAGCGAATATGCTTGTCGTAAAAGGCGACTAACAGTATCGGGTGGGCAGGCTCGCTGACTTGGTTCACACATGTCATCGAGTCTGGACCAGACAATGCAGTGATCAACAGCATGAGGATCGATCTACGCAATTGATAGTCGCCTTTTACGACAAGCATGGGTTGCTGAAGATCAATTCTAACCCAGATCTTCACGGGTTGTGTTAACACGAGAAGCCTGCAGTATAAACACGGGGATTGTGACTGGTGGGGGTCTTTGACGAGTTGATAGTATGCAGGAGGTATGTAATAGCCTTGGTCACGGTTGATTGATGGTTGGAGTCTTTTGATGTAGATAGCTTCTTGGAGTTTCCTGATATAAAAAGTCTTTGTGGCTGGTCGTTAGGGTTTTGACTCTGTCCCACTGGATGCTGTGGCCAGGATTGTCACAGATTTCGTGTGATAGTGTTGATTTGGAGTAAAGTCCTAATACTGAGGTCTGATGCCCTTTGATTCGGGCTGTGTGAGGTTCAGGTTCAAGATGAACGTCAAGACTGTTATCAAGGCTATTTCATACCTCCAGCATTCTATCAACGCACCAAAGATCCCCTCGGTCATAATCCTTTTGTGTATACTACAGGCCTCAGTAGTGATACGATAACATGTGTCAACCAAGTCATTGAGCCTGACCACCCGATCCCGTTGATAGCCTCTGGCGACAGTCATGGTTTTCTGAAGTTCTAACCCGGATGTTCACGGGTCTACAGTCATCCCTTGTGGAAACTCAGTAAAATATACAATAGTCATTGAATTGGCCACCAGCCTGCATACGGATTGTGATTTTGTTTCTAATGAGACAACAGTCTGAATTAGATATTTCTGTGCATTGTTGTGTTGTTCTTCACAAGAACATCGCGAGACACGTAAACGTGGAATAACAATTACGAGGAGATAATTCGGAAACAGAAGTGTCCCCAAATAAATGTAAATCCATGGAGACTCATTCACAGTCATTTTGTCAAAAATGCAACCTATGTCTTTCAATCTTCAAGTATTACGTATTTACAGATGACTGACAGAAGTATTTTACGGAAACATCAATATAATATCGAACTTTCTTTTCAATAGCGTACGTCCCAACTTCTAAAATGCCACTCAAAGAAATGAAAAAGCTGCATGATGATAGTGGCAGCTGCAACTGGGTTACACATGTGCGTCTACTTCTATTCCGAACTGGATTTTCTTATGTTTGGATTACGCAGGAATGTGGGAATATTGAAACATTTATCAAGATATTAAAATTCAAAATTGCCATTCTAGGATAACATCATCATCTTTTCTAAAAGACTATGGAGCAATCAAGTCCACCCTGGAACCTGAAAAATACATATTAGAACTGTGCCATAACAAGGACCTTATACGCATTTTATGCAAATTCCGCTGTTTAAGCCATAAACTGAATGTTTAACAACAACGTTATAGTAATAATATAAATTTCAATGTACTGATGACAAATGTGATTTTAATGTTACACAAGATGAATTTCATTTTTTACCTGTGTGTCCATTCTATTCTGTACACAGAAAACTGTATTTACCTAGTTATTACCATACCTTTCCATCAAGATTAAAATTTAAACAACTTTTAACAACAACAAATGCACATCTATTGAAGTCTATTGCAATATTTCTAAAGCGTAACTTGCCTGTATGAAAATGAACTAACGACATTGCTTTATCTGTCCATCCGCACAATATTGTAATTACATGTTTGTACTTTTGGCCATGTGGCCTCAAATACTGAAAGAAACATATTCTTCTACTCAGAGAAAATACCGAGATATGTTTGACGGAATGGCATTAAGAGTTTCATACTAAACTCTGATCATTGAAAACATACATAATTAAACATTGGCTTTCGTCTCAAATAACGGGTTTATCTCATCTTGGGCCCGGAACGGATAATAAATTCTTTTATTTCGCGAGTGCGACATTTTTATACAGATTCCTGTACCCTTGTCAAGCAGGATCCTGTTCAATAGCGTACGTCCCAACTGCTTAAATGCCACTGTGATCATTGAGAACATACATGAATAAACTTGGGCTTCATGTCATCTTGGGATCCGGAATATTTATTTCTTTTTCGTCACCAATGACAATATTGTTGACTGATGACATTGAATTTATTTCTGAATAGGCCAGAGGCCAGTATACAAGTTACAATTCATATTGCAATAATGATAATAATGCACATGCAATAGGCACATCTCCAATGGTACTGGGTACTGAAAACTAAATGAACAGTATTGTCTGGTGACAGAATGTTAACAACAAATAAGGATATAAGGTTAGCGGCTTGGTCATTTTGCAAATACTATTTTGCACTTACGTTTTCGAACTATAGTCCTACAAATGTATTTGTGATCGGATGTTGGTACAGATTGCAAGTCAACACAATGGCAGCGAATGGAATAATATTATAGGCGTAGTCTTATAGGTGTTTTTCACAGTTTTCTAGTTTTTCTTAGCATACATTTCATAACTGCCTCTTTCTTTAAGGATATGATAAACAAACTTAGCTAACTTCAGAATATTATTTTTGGACTTACTTTTCAGAAATTGTACAAACTTGTACATACTCGGATTTTGATACAAACTCTTGTCTAAATACAACTGTCTATATTTTACATACCTTGGACAAACCATTACAACATGATACTCATCTTCCAAACAACTAGTACAAAAAGGACATACTCTATTCGATATATCTAACTTACTCCACCGTCCCTTTTCTACTAATAGCATGTGAGAACTTAATCGAAATCGCGTTAAGGCTTTTCTATATTTAGCTATTTCTATCCTACAGAGATAGCGTTCAAATTCAAATGTTTCCTTGATGTGTAGATACAATCTAGTGTCGCTAGGCGATAAAAGCTGATATCTCCACATTTGGATATGGATATCATTTACTCTTTGTCTGAATTCATTTAAAAAGCTAATCTTACAAGATACAGTTTGCGACAACCAGTCATAACCAAACCCGTATTGACATAATACATCTCTCAGTAAAGTAAGTTTTACATTCTGGATTGACTATAGACATTTCTAACAAGGCATCATATACAACACGTATGTATCTATGATTTTCACAGTTAATGAGTTTTAACCAATAATGTAAGATACGTAATATTCTACTTGTGTACAGAGGCAAAACACCAAACTCACCATATATAAAACTTGATGGTGTGGATATCTTAACTTTCAGCAATTTTTTCAAGTACGTTAAATGAATCCGTTCAACAGCGGGTGCCTACATAAAGCCCCAGACTTCACACCCATAGTTCAAAATAGGTATAACAAGTGATATTAACAATTCATATTGTTAGCTGACTTGGATATAGGGTTTATGACTAGTTATTCTATATAACGTAAATAATGCTTTGCTAGCTTGCTCAGACAATATTCCTTGAGCCTCCGAAAAACTACCCGAGGGGGTAAAAACTGTACCCAAATATTTAAAGCTATTAACAATTTCCAATTGACTACCTGCATAATTCCAAACGTCTCTCTTAGCCAATTTACCACCCTTTCGAAACACTACAACCTTAGTTTTGTTTACATTAACTTCTAAACCCCATTGTTGGCAATATTCACGTAGCAAGTCTAGGCCCTCTTGGAGACCATGGACAGTTTCACTAAATAGTACCATATCATCGGCAAACAACATGGTGATGACTGATGGTGCGACAATAGACAGATTGACAGAATGGCCATCAACCTACGCACCTGTCCTTCTCAGGAGCGACGACACCATGAATACGTTTCGGTTCAAAATAGGGGCTGTTCGGATGGCCTAGTGGTTAAAGTGTTGACACGTCGGAAAGAAGACCATGGTCTATTTCACTACATGGGTACAATGTGTGAAGCCTATTTCTGTTCTCCACTCGCTACCCCCTATCCCCTCCCCAAATCCCAACCTACCCACTGCTACCGATTCTAAATCGGATCTTCATGCATATATTGGAATGTTCAGCCTTTCCATTGGTCTACTGCTTGTCGTAGATGGCTATCGGGATCGGGTGGTCAGACATGTATACGTGGTTGATGCATGTGGTATGCTCACTGCGTTCGATTTCCATGTTCACTGGAGTGTCTGGTCGTATATACAGGCTGAATATTGCTGATTGCGGCTTTAAAAAGACACAGAGAAAAGATTCATCTACCCGAAATCCTGTAATTTAACCTGTATTAACCTACCTGGTGGTTGGCGTTTATTTCCTGGTTTTAGTCTTTTCTTGGGAAGGCCTTTCCTGTTGGTCACCTTTGGCGTCGTTCTCTTTTGAAGAACATAAGAGTTGAACTGTCTTGCTACAAGCTACTGATTAGTATTATTATGTTTTACTGATTAAAAATAGTACGCAGCAGAGAGGGTTTCGGTAATCATGGTACAGTCAGGCTTGCATTATAAGGCTCATCGTCAGCTCAGGGCCCTTGCCCTTCTACACGCAGCCAACACAGCCAATGGGACTTCTCCCAGTAATGAACCTATCAAGGACTTTCCGGAGAATATGAAGGCTCCCAAACACTGCAGCCTCCTGCATTACCCACAGTGTCAGAAGGCCTCTGCACCAGGTGGAGAACCCGGGCACGCACTCTCCTGATCTGCGCCAAGAGATCAGGTGGTACAAAACCAAGGACACCGTGAACAATGGGGAGCCTGACGATAGTGTACTTGGAATGCAAGCGGGATATTTCAAAGGCGAAGTCCGCATATTTAGCATGCTTTTCCTGAATTTTGTCAATCACGTTGCTGTCAAAAGGTACAGAAAATTCAATGATATAATGAATTCACTGGCTTTATCAAAAAAGCCAAGGTCAGGTTGGTTTACAGGAATTCGTCTTCTATGTAAGAGATATTAAGCACTACGTAGCAGATAGTAAGTCCTACGTAGAAGATAGTACGTCCTAGGTAGGAGATATTAAGTCCTATGTAGGAGATAGTGAGACCAAAATTTTGTTCACCCTGGCCCTACTTCGCTTCCGTACTTTAATTTATTTTGTTATTCTATATAAAATAATCGTATTCGCTCTTGTAAAACCAACCCTGGTTATTTGAGAATATAATGATTTAATGTTTACATAACTAAATACATACCTTTGGAGGGATACCCAATGATCGCCCAGGTTATTTTTTAGGAATATACATTACCTTCCGCGGAGATTTGGGTGGCTGGCGTTTCACAGGGGATCGATTCTTCGTTCTCTGAAAACGCAAAGGGAAATAATAATAAATTCATCAAATATTCTAAGGCCGTTAATTCAGTCAACAAAATTGCCTTTCATGATGACTTTATAAAACACTTTGAGCGTCTGGAGTGTTAAGACATTTTGAATTGCATAACAAAATGTTATTTTCGTTTCGGCTATGACATACGTACGGTAGGATAATAAAAATACTGAACAGCAACAGAAACGCAAATCTGGCTTTTTGTCAATTTTGTTAATAGAAGACAACCCAAATTATGTCTAATCATTTATTCTAAAGAAAACACTGTCAATGTAACAGCTAAAAGTTGCTGTTGACATTGAATTGCAATAAGTTCAAATTGATCACAGTCCGTCAAATGGAGATACCCCCTGAACGCGAAAAGTGACAGTCTCTTTAGTAGCGCGTATAGCCACCTTGAGATTGCACACAGGCCGTGCAACGTGGCCTCATTGAGTTCACTAGAGACTGAAAGAATGCCTGAGGCAACTGGTTCCGCTCAAACACCAATCTCTATTCCAACTGTGCAAGTGTGAGTGGCTGTCTACCTGCAGCAATCCTCCATCCAATTTCGTCCCAGAATGTTCAATTGGAGCCATATCCGGGGAAAGAGACGTTAATGTTGTTCTGAGCCAGATAATCCATCGACACCCTTGCTGTGTGAGGGCTGCAAACGTCGCTGGCGTTGTTGACGTGCCAAAATTGGCCCCACATATGGCCTTCGGCAGTGGATTCCAGCAGCCCGAAGACGACGCCTAATCGTATCGCTTGGCACTGCTCCCCTTGACCCAAGAACTAAGGCTGCTGTTACTGTTGCTGCTTGAGTTCGGTTCCTTAGATGAGTGACCCGGATGAACTGATCTTGCGCATGAGTTGTCACTCGTTGCCGTCCGGTGCGGGGAAGATCAGCAGCAACCCGCTTTGCTGATGACGTTGAGCAAGTCGTGTAATGGTGGTCAGATGACAGCCCAATTGTCTAGCTACAGCGGTTGCAGCGCTACCTCCGTGTAACTTTCCAATGGCCATTCCCCTCTGCTAAGGTCGTTAGTCTAGGCATCATTTGTGTGGCGTGTACACCTCCTAGCGTCAATACTGAACTGTTTTTTGACACAAACCTTTATAAAGGATACCTCAGAGTGAAATGCATGCTTTTCATCCATAAACTTCGATGCACGTGCTAAAATTATGGTTTTGCTGCACTGTTGGTGTGTTTGTGCGAATATTTCGTATGGACGTGAAATTGCATGACATCATCTCATATGGGATCATTACGTCACTTAACCATGAACGTTCCATAAACATGAACGCTTACCTTCATGAGATTTCACTTGCGTTTCTTTTGCTGTTCAGTATATGTATGACTGTCTTGAGTGATAGTACCAACAAAACGGATGCGACAAAACTGTCAGTAAAATAACTAGGGTTGGCTTTTCTATATTTGCAGAAAACAGTAACTACAAAATGTTGGACATTTGAGGACAGTTGAGGACATTTGTGCTTGTGTGTATGCGTTTTCGTTCGTGCGTACGTGCGTGTGTCTTTTTAGATCTTCATAACTACATACCCTTAGAGGGATACTTAACGGTCGCAGTGGTGGCTTTTTATAATTATTCACTCCCTTCCGCGGAGATTTGGGTGGATGGCGTTTCACAGGGGGGCGTTTCGCTGTTCTCTGAAAAGCAAAGTGGAAAAATCAATGATCCTCCATCGATATTCCTTAAACGTTTTTTGGCATAAATACATTATCTTCAGACCATTAATTCAAGCCCAAAACGATAACTTGATAAAACACTTTGATTTGCCGTCCATGGCGTCTGGAATGTTGATACATTTTGAATTGTATTACAAGATGCTGTTTTCGTTTTGGAATTACATAAATACGGTTGGATATTTATATGCATGACTGTCCTATGAGAAAACACAAATAAAACTGAAGCGACACAACAAAAGTCAATACAACAGGAATCAGCGCTAACATTTCTATAATTGTTCCTAACAGTAACTACAGAATGTTGGACATTTGAGGACAGTTGAGGACATTTGTGCTTGTGTGTATGCGTTTTCGTTCGTGCGTACGTGCGTGTGTCTTTTTAGATCTTCATAACTACATACCCTTAGAGGGATACTTAACGGTCGCAGTGGTGGCTTTTTATAATTATTCACTCCCTTCCGCGGAGATTTGGGTGGATGGCGTTTCACAGGGGGGCGTTTCGTTGTTCTCTGAAAAGCAAAGTGGAAAAATCAATGATCCTCCATCGATATTCCTTAAACGTTTTTTGGCATAAATACATTATCTTCAGACCATTAATTCAAGCCCAAAACGATAACTTGATAAAACACTTTGATTTGCCGTCCATGGCGTCTGGAATGTTGATACATTTTGAATTGTATTACAAGATGCTGTTTTCGTTTTGGAATTACATAAATACGGTTGGATATTTATATGCATGACTGTCCTATGAGAAAACACAAATAAAACTGAAGCGACACAACAAAAGTCAATACAACAGGAATCAGCGCTAACATTTCTATAATTGTTCCTAACAGTAACTACAGAATGTTGGACATTTGTTTATGTAGGTTTTAACATAATACAGCCCTTGACAAAACCCATATATTGTTACAGGACAACGAGCGACACGCCCAAAACGTTTCAACCTCAAATTTCTGAAATGAGCCAGCTTTATCGAGTGATTACGGTCCTGTGGTCGTCGTTGATTGTTGGAGACAGGGCGATGCGGCATGCGTTACACAAGGAGCGTCTATGGATTTTCTTTTTATCTTTATTTTTTTTAGATAATATTTATTTTCCAAGATACAGCCATATTGAAATGATACTTGCAATCTATAACACAAACACAGCAATATATACATTCATAGTAACAAAGCAAACTAAAGGTGAGTTCATTATCGGACTGCTGCAACCATTTGACATGGAATTCATTTAAACACCCGCGTGCTGCATTTGACCACGAATGTGTCCCTTGGAGATCTAGACACCGATCTGGGGAAATGTCATGGGATCGCTAAGGCAGTTGAGAAGATAATTCATTTTTGTTATTAATATATGCAAAAAAGCAACAAGAGAGAGGTAGGGAAGGGGGAAATGAGGGAGAGAGAAAGGGGAGGGTGGGGTTAAAGGGTTGGAGAGAAGACAAGAAGAGGTAGCATGTTGTTTAAACTGTAAAACAGCCAGACCATTTTCTCAAAAAGTTTTCATTATCTTCACCGAATATATACTTTTCAACATTATAATGAAGCTTTATAATTTTTAGGAGATGGTTAAAATGTAACTGTTTAGCCATGCATTTCCATTTGTAGATGTATTTTTTCATGATAGTGCATAGGTTGTTGACAAGAATGCTTTCATTGGGGTCACCCAGGAGAAATGAAGAGTCTGTGGATTCTTTGCATGGAGAAATCAGCGCGCAATGGTCAGCACGTCTATATGCCCTAGTCTGTGATTAGCAGACGCCGGGACAAATACCGACAATCCTAAAAGTCATAGTCCACCGCCAGTTTGGATTAAACTTGGCAAGGCGTTACAACGGGAGTTGGACAGGCTCCCTCATATTTCTATCGATAGCATTATTTTATCACAAAATGTTACGACTGATCACGTCTGGACACTTGGTCAGGCAAAGACCTTATGAAATCTTTGGCGGTAGATCGGTTACGGGGTGGGGTGGCATCACTATCACTGGGCGAGCTAAACTCCATAGAAGGAGGTGTCACTTTACAGTACCACCGAGGAAATATAATGCCAGCGTTTCTTGTCCTTTTTGTGCTCCATGTGGATCTACGTTTTGTCTGTCAGAACAACAACGCCCATCCTCACGGTGCACAAACCGTCAGTACTCAACTCTAACTTCAGAGAATGCCATAAGCGACTATGAGGTCAGACTTTTCCCAAAAGGAAAACGCCTGCGGCAAGACAGGAGTTGTGTTCGCCAAAGTCATATGTCCGACGACCGGTTTGGCTGAACTTGGTGAGGCGCTGCAACAGGATTGAGATGGGCACCCTCTCATCGCCATTCAGAGGCCTCTGTTGAGTGGATGAATAATGAACAAATCGTGGAGGTATAAAAAAGGTCAGATGTGTGAAAAATTCTAATCTAACCCCTATCGTCGTTCAAGAACTGCCGTAACACATCACTACTGTGTGTAACGCGTTTACCATACCACAATTACTGAAAACAAATGTCTACCAGTTATGGGAAAAGAAATATAATGCCGAGGATCGTATACTTCTTGTTGAAGAGCACACACACACACACACACACACATTCTATATAATGCATTCATAGCCGCATACCTTCAGAGGGCTATTTGATGATCCTGCAGATAACCTTTCACTAACAATCACTCCTTTCTGCGGAGGTTTGGTTGGCTGGCGTTTCACATTGACCGGCTTCTTGGTGGTGGTTACATGCACTGGCCTTAGCGCTGTGTCGTTTGAGTGGGCTGCGGCAACCTCAGGGGGGATCGTGACGATGGAAACTGCTTGCCTGCCACTCTGTAGTCTCTGAAAAGTGAGTCAGTGAATGAGTTTAGTTTTACGCCACACTCAGCAATATTCCAGCTATATGACGGCGGTCTGTAAATAATCGAGTCTGGACTAGGTAATCCAGTGATCAACAGCATGAGCATTGATCTACGCAATTGGGATGACATGTGTCAACCGAGTCAGTGAGCCTGACCACCCGATCCCGTTAGTCGCTTCTTACGACAAGCATGGGTTACTGAAGATCAATTCTACCCCAGATCTTCACGGGTAGTCACTGAAAAGGCCAAGGGAAATAATAATGTTCCCCCATCGATATTCCTCCTATATGATTTGGGCATAACGCATTCAATATTTTAATGCCATTAATTCATGTAAACCATCTGCTTTCAACGGTAAATTGATAAAACACTTTGATGACAATTCACTGACAGAACGCATGCATTGTAACGGGACAAAGAGAGACACGCCCAAATGTGAGGTAATGAAACAATCCAATGAACAACGGCAGTTCGCAGTGATGCAAGAGAGGCATCCGATGATTAATTAGGGGAATGTGTTCAAAATTTCAACCAAATGACGTGGCTAAACCGACTGGTTACGTGTCCTGTTGTATTCTTCAACCATCTGATCCAAGACATTTTGTTTGAGGAAGAGATCTAAAGACACAGCCTGTCACGGCTGACGAGCAATGTTTTGCAACCTTGAAAGACTGCACATTAATAATAGAAAGAGACGGAGTCCTGTAAACAGACCAACCAATCACGTGGTCGATGGAGCAGAAAAAAGCAGTTACGCGAGAGTCCTTTTGACGATTTGGTTGACACTAACACTACGATATCTTACTCATATGCCATAACAAAATGCAAATGTGGTATTTGTCTCAGTGAAGCATTTCGAACAAGTCGACTTCAAATTTGCTGAAATAAATATCACGTTCAAAGCTCATGTATTCATTATGTGTACACGAAAGGTCACGACAAACGAGAAAATGAGTGCAGACAGACTGTAAGCTATACCGTACTACTTTAGAAACGCATCACCAGGATAAAACGTTTAATCTCCGTGATAAATGAAAAACTTGGCCCTGTTGACATTGAAATTGTCAATCAAGATGAAACAAGAAAAAGAAGCAGCCATTCACCATTTAGTGCATCCATAACATAACGGTAAAATTGACGGGTTGAAACTTGAATTAATCATGCTCCCAAGACTTTGACACAGTCAGTATCAGTAACAGGTATGGCCATCATTTGCGTCGAGCACAGCCACGACAAGAGAGGAATGTTCTTTTGCTGAAGAAAGTTCATGCTGTGTCTACCATTATGGGGTCATGCATTTTTATCCTGATGCAAAATAGGAAGACGTTGATCTGCCGTCATGTAGGGAACGGGCACGACTGTACCTTCCCAGAACCTCCGCTTTACACGTTTGAGTTGTAACTGACCTCGACAGATGTGTAGATGTGCCCAGCAATGACTACCAATCCTTCCACAAATCATAACGCTTCCACCAACACAGCGGGCTAGCTGCTGAACTCGATGATCAGCTTTACGTTCTCGGACTCTAATCCTTCCCTTTACATGACATGAAATCTGGACACGTCAGGAAGGAGAACAAGTACGTGCGATGACATCGCCGCCATACCGTCTGGGAACTGATGATACCCCTTCGTCCGCAATTGTAGTGTCTGTTCTGGACGCTGGTTATAACCCGTTCCTCAAATGAGTAAGGACGATGTGACGATCTTGGGCCGGGGTCGTGATACGTGTTTGTACTGGGAGTGGTCGATCACATGTTGTGCCAGTCAAAAATGTAGTTGAAACATTCGGTGTGATTTTGGTACACAGTTGAATTATCTGTTCATATGTCATGGAACCACCACGTTTAATGCATTTTCCGGCGATTTGCAAGTGAAAAGGTTAATTTCAGCAAATGGTGGGTTACGTGATCACATAGGGATGCACGTGTTTCTCGGTGTGCATCATGTTTATCTGACACAGTCAGATTACTACAAGCATAGTTTGGTTTCTAAGTACGTTTTGCATATTCCATGATCAATAATAATAGGGTGAGGCGCAGTGCTTCAGTATACAATGTATATAAATATCTATGCTTCTTTGGAAACTTTTCAGTAATCCACATGAACAACATCAACATCACATTTTTTATATGTCGGGGTGGTTCAGGTCAGTTTATTTCAGCAACCACCGGTCCAAATTACAAAAAATAAAGAAACCAGTAGGTTTATTACTAATACTGGAGCACCAAAAGTTCTGTGGGGAGGTGGTAACATATCCGATTTTTAACATTCAGCATTCTATCACGCTTCGTCAGACCAAGAGGTGTGCCCCTCCGTGATATTGCTGGAAAGGTGCTAAAAGCAACGTAAAACAAAACTCACTCATTCACTAACTCCTACTTAGATACATGTATGTTTGTTGTAGAGAGGGAGGTATAGTCCCAAATGACGTCATCGAAAACTTGTCTGACCTCATTTCACAGAGGGCAATGACCGCGCACCCCCGTGGGAAAACGGATGACACATCATAGCATCACACCATGACATCACGCCATTATTTCTGACCAATCAGCATAGAGCAACTATCGAACTCACTCTGGTGTGACTCAGGCTGACTGAGGTCAATGACCTCGTACCCCGTTGGAAACGGATGACACATCCAGCGTGACATCATAGCATCACACCATGACATCATGCCATTATTTTGGACCAATCAGCTTAGAGCAACTATCGAACTCACTTGACCACTGACCACAAACTAGTTTCATCCGGTTTCAATTTTAACTATAAAAACCCCTCTGAGAATGAGTTGAGGTTATCACTTGCTACATATGTCTTTTTACAAAATGTTTATATTTTCCACACTCTCTAACCTTTCCTTTCGCGTGTAGAGAAAATCTGTTATCTCAAATGTCAAAGCAAGCACTCGTTACCACAGTATCAATTACCCAATTACCCACTTAACGTGACATCACCTCAGCTCTAAATCACTGGCCTAACAACAGTCATCTGCACACATATGTGTAAAAGAAATTATACGGGTTCAGTTCACGGGTTTTATAACACATTTGTTAAATGCGATATAGATCAGCGTTCATTGCCACATGAAAATGGTTTGAGTTTGTCTTGACCATCACCGAAACAACCCAACTAAATAGAATTTCAAATGTATTTCAAACTTACCGCTATGCCATCGTCACAGTCCATATTTGAATATCCAATCCATATTGTCATTCTATCCTGCCTTGTAATGCCAATATATGTTTGTGATTGTTTCAAATTCCATACTATTGCATGTGTGGGACTATGCTGTGGCGGGGGGCGGTGGAGGAGAGGGGTGAGGGGCGGGGGCACTGCTGTGGCAGGGGGAGGGCGTGTCAAGTTTCTGTCGACAGTTAGCCTGGAGATTTCTCGCGAGTGTAAACAACCTATGTTAATATGGTGGAATTAGCAGCCCATGAATTACTCCCTACTCTCAAACTAAATATTATGATTTTGTATTGACTGAATGCATCATGATAAGACAATGCTTGATGTATTTTAAAACCAAAAACATCCATAAATAAAATGCTACATGCTCGTTAGAATCAACACTAGCTAGGGCGTGTCAGCTTTGACTGTAGAAATGTGGGTTCTCGTCACGGAGATAGTACCTGCGCTTCCAACATATTTAGGAATGCAACTTTCATGGAATTCATCTAAAATTCTATCAGGAATGGGGTGTAATTGTATAGTGTTAGCATGAAAGAGTAATCATAAATGTATGCATGACAACACACTGGTGTATATTATTATTATATGGGTATCTATATAGCACTATAGTCCATCCCGCATGCATGCTCAAAGCGCTGGTAAATTTTTCCTTGGATGTCAATCACAGCCATATTACCATTCTCAACTCCCCGGGGAGCATCTTGCTGCCACTAGGCACACCAAGTTAATGTGGTTTTCCAATCCTAACGAGGTATACATGACAGACAGACAAAAAAAAACATATACTGATTTCATTTTTTTTATTAGCTCCGTTTCAAACGAGTAGAACTACGGGATAGGAGCGCTCCCAGAAGTCTACTTTACATCTGTTGTGAATCGTCTTATTGCCCGTCCTCATCCTCCTGTCCTTCACTCTCTTCATCAGATGTTATGTCTTCATCTTCAGTCAAGCCTTCCACCCAAGACTTATATTTGTACAGATTGGAAAACTTGGGGTATTCCCGGTGGACCCACTGAAGACCTTTCGGGACACCAGTTTCTTCTGTGTTTTTGAAAATCCTGCACGTCTTGAAACATGGGTCCACAGTCATCACAAGATGGCATTGTTGGGAGGTTTGACTCAGACTGAATTGTCCTAGCTTGGAGGTCTCCTTTTAAACTGAATGCATTGAGACAAAGTCGTAAATGGGGAGGTGTTTGGGGTTTTAGATCAACCAACAAGTAGCCATATGGTTTCTGGATAGCCCTTTGAAACGGCTCCATGAAATCGTGTGTGTTACCTGGATACATTTGCCTTGCCAAAGTCATAATGGGTTGTTGATCGATAGGGTTGTTGTACAGAAGCAGATGATGGCAGTTTCTTTGTTGTGTGGGATCCTTACTGAAATACAAATTCTGGTTCAAGGCTATCACTGAGAGATTACGATGATGACTTCCTTCCGTAAATGCATGGATCTTTGCTCGCTGTCGTCATTAAGTCATCGATTATAACCACATTCACCACATGGGGGTCCAGAAACGCATCCTTTTCCAGGTCAGAAGGAATGCCTTGATGAAATTCCACATAGGGATAAACATGGCTTTGAATGGTGTTATACAAGGGCTGCCATTGTTTGTAGAGCCAGATAATACGTTCAGGATAAGGTTTAATGTTCATCCTTTCTAGAATCTGTTTCACTAAGTAGGTTTTTCACATGGTGAATGGGTGTATTAGTCTAAATTCTTCCAAAGACTGAGTATTACTTTCTGTTGAATGTGGTTGTACTGGTTGCTGCTGCTGCTGCTG